AACGGCAACACTGTTCTACACTAATGTAGGATGTTAACAGGGTAACTTGTGTTGGGAGATGAGGGGACTGTGTGTGTGTGGAGGGAACTCTGTACTTTCTGCTCTATTTTTTAAATACATGTTTTAGTGGAGAATGCATGGGTCAGTGGGTCATAGTGCTCACTTCGTCTTTGCAGAGTAATAACTACAGGGAGTTAAAAGAAATCCAACAACAAAAGACAGATGCCACAAGATCTCATCTCCAGATATGCCAGTCCCCTGGCACAGTCGAGCATAGTAGATCATAGTAAAGGAGGGAGAGAGAAGATTCAGAATTCTTAAGAAAATACATAATCTCCTCCTGACTCGGGGGCAATGAGATTTTACACTGCTGGGTTTTAATAGCAGTAGTATTTTTGCATTGCTTTGTAGTTTCCAACATGCTTTCAGTTAGATGGTCCCTGATGATATACATCATTCCATCTGCTCCCCACTGCCCACCAAGCTTCACACCTCTGGAGCACTTGGCAGCTTTTCATTATGCCATCTCAGTCTGTCACGGCCCCCTCACTCAGGATTAGAAGAATTCCACTTGACTGTACAGGTTGTGAGACTTAATGTAGCGAATGTGCATTGAATCAGATTCTTAGAACTGGAAAGGACTTTAGAAATTATCTTTATCAAAAGATTAGCATATAATTACACAGAGACCCAGAGGTGCTGAATGCCTTAACTAACCAGCTAGAGAAATGAACAAAATGGAGACTCTCTGCACTACTCAGCCCTGCATTACCTGCCTCAGCTGCCTCGCTCCATGGGAACCCTAAAAAAAATCGAAGTAAGATTTCCACAGCCTTTCATTCACTAAACGCACCAGTGCTTCCTTAATAGCCTCTCCCAAACCAGCTCTTAGTTCTTTTTTCTGGACACCAGTGTGCCAAATCGTGTTCTCAGCACCTCATGCCTCTCGTACACCCTTGGTCTTCCTGACTTTGCAACTCCAGCGCACCCTGTCTGGAGCACCAGATAAATCTAATACAGATTTATTTCTTCGTGGCTTCTTTTGTGTAGAAGATAAAGCTCAGACCTCTTAAGAGAGCACTTACAGGACTGCAGCCTGATTTCTTCCTACCTCTCCAGAGTCATGCACTGAATAATCATTCAAACTATTCCATTTCCTGTTCGCCAATCCCCAGCACACCAACACAACCCGTGTTTTGTGTCTTTCTCCAACTGTCCTCTCCAGGTAACGCTCCCTGTCTTAGTTTGGGCTGCTGTAACAGGACACTCTAGACTGGGTGGCTTACAAACAAAACTAGTTGATTTCTCACAGTTCTGGAGGCAGGGGAGTCCGAGACCAAGGTGCTGGCAGATTCAGCGTCTGCGGAGAGTCTGCTTCCTGGTCCACGGATGGCTTTGTCCTCACATGGCAGAAGGGGTGAGGGAGCTCTCGGGAGTCTCTTATAAAAGGGTGCTAATCCCATTCATAAGGGCTCTGCCCTCAGGACCTAATCATTTCCCAAAGACCCTCACCTCCTAATATTATCATTAGGTTTCAATGCATGAATTCTGGGAAGACAAAAACATTCGGTCTGTAGCATTCCCTAATTTATTGGGCATCCTACCATTTCCTGAAGCCCAGATAAATTTTTCTCTTTCCCTAGGATTGTTTTTTTGGCTGGGACCAGGTAATAATTTATCTCCTCAATGAATCCTAACAGCACTTCTTGCCTGTAGCATTCATTGGGCACTCTGCATGCGTATCCTGGAAATTTACATGAATTATGACTTACATATTTTACCTCTTGAGTTAGATTAAACTCCTTGAAGGTAGCGATCTTACAGAGCCAGTTTCCATCAGTGTGTGGATTTATTTATAAGAATGACAGTCATTTTTAGATTTAACATCATAGGACTCAAAATCTTTTTGAATCTTCTGATGCCAAATAATGGAGAAAATTCTTTCATATATTCCAAAAATAATATATTTCAGTGTTTAGTAACACTTTTGTTTTGAGGTAGTATCCTTTAAGACATGACTGAAATTCAAATGCAACATTTAGCTTTATACAGTGAACTTCCTATCAACAACTGTCTTAAAAAGCAAATCACTTTTGACTTCCTCCTTGTATATTCGATGAGACTTGTTGTAACACCATTGGGTTGAAGAGTGACATTCTGAAATGAATTATATCCCTAAAGGTTGTCTAAGATTTTTAAAAAGTTGAACCATGTTCATCAAATGTTCTTTTGTACAATGTAATTAACAATTTTATCTTTTCTCCATATAGTTGTCATTATGTATAATCAACTTTTCCATTTTCTTAAACTCTGTATCCCATCACACTCATCTTTTTACTTTGAAAATTTCCCCTCCCATAAAGGAAGGGCTTATGAGATTTGAGAGTAGAAAGTCTATTGTAAATTTGAAATTTTTGCATCCATAATATTTAGAAATGTGAATTCTCTACCAAGGAAAAGCATAAAGTAGGATGATTTATTATCTATTTCAGAAATAAAGTAAAAATTCATGACAATCTTGGGATAAAGGTCAGTCAGATAAATCAAAATGAAGCTTTTTAATCTATCTGCACGGTTGGCATATATATGAATTAATAGAGACAAGGAGAAGAATGGCAGACGTGTATTTTTTCTCAATAACTATAGGAAGAGCTTAAAATAATGCCAAAATAGTGAACCACAAGCTTTCAATTTTAGTTTGTTAAATGAGTTAGAACACTATCATAATCAACATTTTGGGCCTTACACACTGGAAGACAAGGTAGGCTGCAATCATATTAGTAACAGGAAAATCATCACTTGCTTAATCATTGTTAACTCAGGGCAAGACAAATACTTGCTTTTCTACTCAAAATGCAAGCGCTAAAGTAAACTAAGTCCACAAAAATTACTGAAAGGATAATAAAAGGTTAGTAGACACATAAGAGGCCACAGAGGGGTCTTCTGTATTCAGTGCACATGCCAAAACAGGCAAATGGGGAGAGTTTACTATATCATAATATATAAAATTATATCCTTACTGTATGATACTAATTTCTGAGTTTTTCATAAGTTAAAAGTGAAGGAAATGGAAGTTATATAATATATTCTAAACATGTAATTTATCTACTGTAATAAAGACTTTTTGGGGGGAGGGTATAGCTTAGCAGCTGAGCACATGCTTAGCACGCATAAGGTCTGGGGTTCAATCCCCAGTACCTCCATTAAAAATAAATAAATCTAATTCCACCCCCCCAAAGAAAGAACTTTTAATAATGCTGGATTTAATAACATGGCTTAATATTTCTATTTAGCAATTATTGCACCTACCAGACACTATATTTTACTTACTTACCTTATTCATTCTGTTCTCCCATCCCCACCACTAGAGTATGACCTCATCAGGGCAGATAATTTTAACCTGAGGCAACTGCAATGTCCCTGGTGCTTACAAGAGTACATGGAGCAGATAAAGAGCCTTAAGAATGTCTGTTGTACTAAAGGGATGTTTTCCAAAGTCTTATGATATGTTTAAAAATGATACAAAATAAAGATTCTAAATGTAAAATATGAGTTTAAAATCATAAAGGAAAATCACCAAATATCAGAAGTACAGAAAGTTTCCTATTATAATAGGGTCTCACGCCATCATCATCTCTATTTTATAGATGTACAAGAATCAAGTGATTTGTCAGATCACAGAATTTTGGTACTAAAAGGCATCTTAAACCTCATGGAGCCCAAATATTCAGGTGCTTAAGTCTGCTCAGCCTGATTTAATACCTCAGTGGCAATGACCTCCTCCACCCTGTGAAAGCATCACATTTTGTTTCTTTAAAAAACTACTTGTTAGAAAATTTTTCCTCAGATGTAATTAAGATCTGTATTCCTATGTTTCAGTCCTTTAGTCCTAGTTACATACACACACAGTATGTGTAGTCCAGGTATTATTTTTTATATATTTATCTATAATATATATATGTTATATATAAATGATGTAGTACAAAAGTCTAAATTTGAGTACCTTTATGAAGAGAGTTCTGGGCCAAATAGTCTTCCTGCTTTAATCTTCCTCCAACACTTCTTTGTCTCCTGCCTTTTCTCATGATGAATCCTGAACTAGACATTATATATACATGCACCTAGTATGTGTATATATCATATATCAAAAACTACATATATACACACATGCGCATATGCATACCTTAAATTGTTATACATATGCACACATATGTGCATCTGTTACACAGAAAGGTATGTGTATTTATATTTTATGTCTTGTAGAGGAATCCAATGTTTAAAACATGCTATCATCTTTGAAATTCCATTTTCCCTCTTTGTTTAATTTCTGCTATATCAGGAACCTCAAAAACAAAACCATTTATTTGTATCACCCTCTAAGAGCATAAATTGAATCCCTCTTCTATATGAACATTGTTTAATTAAAATATTTGTTAAAATTGTTAAAATGTTTTCAGAAATCACTCTGTTGTGACCCTCTAAGCAAATATGTCTAATCCCCTGGTTGTTTCAAGATCCATCATCTGACACCCATTCTCCCCTGAAGATTAAACATATTTCACTCCCTCTTAAAATGTAGTTTCTAGAATTAAACACAATGCTCTAGAAGTGGACTACTGGAACAGAGTAATTCAAGAAAGCACATTTCTTCCAATACAACCTATAAATCCATTTGGTTTTTCAGTAGTTATATACATTTGATTTACATTGATTTTAAGGTAAAATAAATTCTTAGTCTTTTTTTATATAATATGACTAAATGAGTATCATATAGCTATAGAGAGTATCTATAGATGTAAAGAAAACATAACATTTTCCTTGTTCTATATTTATGCAGTTGAACTTTTCTTTGGGAGAGGAGGATGGTCCTCAAATTGTAGACATAACTGCTTCACACTAAAAATATCATGTTATGTTCATAAAAGATAACATATTCTGAAAGTCAGATACAAAAAGTTGAGGGTGGTATCAAAACACAAACTTTGAGATGAGCATCCTACCTGTAAAAGCCTGGTGGTGCGTGCCGCACCAGGAAGCTCTTCTCCATGTCCTGGAGAATGTCATTGAGCATCCGCACGCGGACGGGAGCCCTCTCCTCAGGATCGTTAGCAGGACGCATCTCGTCAGACTGGAAGAGCTCAGCGCTCTCCCGCAGGCGGGAGGCCGGGGCCAGCAGCTGAGGGGTGTCGGGCTGATCGCCTGGTGAAGATACATGAGCCCATCTCAGAAGAGAGCATCTCAATGGAGCAATATAAACACTTCACTATCATGATGTCAAAAGGGAGATTCCACATCAATTAAACTTGCAGAATGTATTCATCCCACCAAAACTAGCCTGGTAAGAGTGTTCAGTTTATTCCTACTACTAGTTACTGCTACGAATAAGAATACCAGTAAACAGGAACTGCTTATTGAGACACTACTTCAACGTTCCAGATACTGCTGGGCCCTTTACATAATTATCTCATTTAATACTCACCAAACTTTGTATTGTCATGTCCATTTCATGGGAATTGATTAAAGCAAGAATATTGCCACAGATCATCAAGCAAGTGAATGAGAGGCCAGAATTAGAAGCCTGATCTTTCTGGCTCAAAAATGTATGCTCATCGAGGAGTGTTCTGTTTTTCAAGAAAAAATATTATAAAAAGAATTGTTATCCTCCTTTCTGAGAGCATGAGATGTGTTACCATATGTTGTGATGTGTCTGCTGGCTCCTTTCACTTGACTAGAAATGTCCTGTAATTTGAAGGTGAAATACAACTTTGGTTTGAAAATACTTTGAAAATGATCCTATGTAGCATTTGTATTGCTTTTTTTCATTTTGAGATGATTTTTGCTTGTCATCGCTTTCTTATTTGCTTGTGTAATTTACTGGAAGTCATTGTGATATGAACGTTGGTAGCAAAAGGACCAAAGGACATTCCTCTGACTAAGGGAAAGGCAGTACTGTAGAGTAGTGGCAGCCATCAGAGCCTGGAGCCAGACCACCTGAGTTCAAATCCCTGCTCTAAACCTGCGTGATGTTGGGCAAGTTACTGAGCCTCAGTGTCTTCACCTGTGAAACGAACATAATAACAGCACGTGCTTTATAGATCTGTTAAGGAGGGTTAAGTGATTAACACTTGTAATGTACTCCCCTACAGGTAGGCAGTTCCTAGCTGGTGTTTAAAACTTAATATCTTGTTTAAAAAGGATTCTCTTATTATGCCATGGGAGGAACATTCCCCCATCATCTTACTCCAGATATCCCCATCAGTCAGTCAGGGGGAAGCAAGTCAGGGGTGTCATTCTCAGGAGACTAAGTACAACTGACTCCTGCAAGATCAGCCATTCACTGCAGAAGATGACTTCTAGGCAAGGGAACGAGACGAACGCGGGGCTGGTGAACCCAAGCTGGCAGTCCTGAGCGCGCGGCACTGCGATCAGCAGGTGGAGGAATGAAGAGAGACCTTGTGGGACCTTCACTTGGGGAAGTCTCGGGCAAAAGGGAAAGGTCACAAAGGGACTCTTTCTCCAAGTGAGGCCTAAGGGTACTGGCTCCCCAAACACTTGCTCTTTGTGAAAATGCAGATTCCCAGAACTGCTGAATTTCTCTAGGGCCTGGGAATCCCAGTTTCAACATGTTACTCAGACTGTTCTATACGTCTTAAAGTTTAAGGGGCACTATAGAGAGATGATACATTTTAAAGAAAAGAAAAGAAAACTAGATTAGAATGATAGCTGAGGTACAAAATAGATCTGTCATAAAATTACCAACCTCTAATATAGTGATCTTTATTTTCTCTCACCTTCATTTGATGGAGACGATTTTACGTGTCAGTTTCTTTAGCGCCCAGCATAGTTCTAACACTCAATAATTGTTTACTGGCTAAGCAAAGTAGATTCAATACAGTATTTCAGAAAAATATCCAATTACAAATGAAAACTACAGACAGAGATAAACGGTTTTTATGAGGACTACAGGGAGACAGCCTGCTGTGTAATGCTCTGTTCACCGAAATTAACTGTGAATAAAATCAACTGTAGAAGGTCACAAGGTTTTGGCATTTTGATGTTTTCAAAGTGGTGTTCCACATTCATTCATTAGAAATCTTGTTTGATTTCACAGCAAAATTTGAGTATGCAAGAGGAGAGACTTCTGCTCACTGAGAAAATTTAGCCCCTAAGTAACAGCAACAACATCAACGACAGTAATAATAATGATGACATTTTATAAAGATATGGTTTCTCTTAAACTATAGTTCACCAAAGTTAATATATGGGGAACTTACAGAAAATGTCTTGGACAAGGAAAGAATAAGATAGATAAGGCACATTTGGATGACACTGGAATTGAAACATGGAAGAAACAGAAAAGAACAAGTTTGACATCCTTAAGAGTCTTCCATTTAAGAAAGAAGAATCTGTTCTGATCTAACACACACTGCAGAATTGAAGACACTACTACTGAATCAAGTGAGACAAACTGTACCATTCTACCTTATTTAGCTGTAAATGAATTCAGCTTTCATGGCAGTGTGGATGGAGAAAACTGACAGCCTTGGGAACTGGCTGGTTCCAGAAAGGACCCGAATAGTGGAAATCACCACCACAGCATAACCTATGCATTACTTCAAGGATATGAGGTTACAAATTGAAAAGCAGCTTTATTTCCAATGTTCGCGCAATCATATTGGTATCAAACTCATGTCCCAAAGATTCCCAATAGTTATTCCTATGACCTCAAATGACTTGTGATCCTTAGGGTAACTACTAGAATGGCAGCTCTGTGAGGGAAGAGATTTTTGTCTGTCTCTTCCATTGTCATCTCTCCAACACCTAAAATGATGCCTGGCAAATCATTTAAAGAATGAATATGTGAATTATGTACTTTGATCATAGCATCATGGCATCTGTAGTATCTTTATCCTCATCTGCCTTGTCTCTCTCCTTTCCTTGACTGAAAAGAACCCCACAAGATCAGCAAATATGTTTTATCACTCTCTGCACCTCCAGCTCCTAGCATAATACCTGATATAGGTAGCCATTTACTAAAAATCTTATTGAATATATGTGGAATTATAAGATGTCTTATTTAAGGTACATTATTATATTAAATTATGCCTACAAAATCACCCGGGAGATATTTTGTGCATAATGAGTATCAACAGATATTATTTCCAGTACTTTCTTGATAAAGGTCATAGTTGCAAAGGAAAAGAAACAAAAGAAAAGAAGCTGTTTTACCGTAATGGTAAACTAAACTACACTGGATTAAAATACAGCCTATCAATAATCCCTGAAACTAAGAATTTGTAAAACTTCATTTAAGGCACAGTGTATGTCAGAGAACAGAGATCTAACCGAAACTCTCAGCAGTTTAAGTTCAATTAGTAAGTCCACTTGGCCAAAGGAAATGAACTGGGAGCTAGAGGTTTCTCTCAAAGAAGGTAACACAATCATCTTGAAGTTCTGTGTAGTACGTGGAATCTAAAGACTAAGGACTTGGTATCAAAAACGTAAGAGCCTGGTTTACTTAATTACAATCAGTATGGACATGAACGGATTACCTAATAAGTACAATTTCTCAGCTTTCTTGGGAAAAATGGTCATTTTTCTTTCTAAGTATGTGTATCACTATATAAACGCAAGTTACTATTATCAGAGTATGCAAACTAAACACAAATGACTGTCAACTCACTTTTAAAGGTATGCAAAAAATACTGTAACAGCTTTACTAATGATTTTATTTCCAAAGATGTAATTTTTTATCACTTCCTCCAATGCATGCCTCCCTCTGAGCAACTGTATCACACTTCACCCCATCTACAATTTAATGAGGAATTTCTATTTTATTTTGCAGTACCTATGAACCTGCAGCCAGTTTTCCTTTCCATGGGCTGGCACCTCACACCTCTGAAGAACCAGGAAAGGGATAACGTGAAGGGAAAAAGAATCAAACAACGAAACTTTTAAAAGATCCTTTTCTGTCTTTGCTCCTGGTGAGAAGCCAACCACTAATAAGGTTTTGCAGCATGGGAGAACATCCTGATTTGTGACGCATATTGAATATCAACCTTAATACAATACAAAATAAGTGAGACTGCCTAGTGAATTATCTTGGTATCATTCAAGAGACAACTGAAATGCGCTTCAAAATTTCAAACAGTTTGCATTTTTCCTCCACCTCAAAGTAAAATACAAATGTATTTTCAGTAAGGTCTTATTGAGTCCAATATTATTTTGTGTGTTCCTATGTAAGCCTTATAGATTAAACTTCTAACCTTAATAACTCCTGCTCTAGTTATAAATAATCAAAGGCAAATAAGTATCAAATGAAATAAACACTTATGAGGGTGATGGGAGAGCTCATTGTGTATATGAATATTCTACGTAGATCCCAGGGAAGAACTTGAGAGACTAATCATAAATCAAGGCCATTGCAAATGGAACACTTAAAAGTTCTGGGACTGTCCCTACATTAAAGCAGTAGAGGTCGGATGTTCCATCTGTAAACAACAATATTGATTAGTCTTCCCTTTCCTTCCCTCAGTCCTCTCCCTTGGAGAAGATGAATCCACCTCTAGCTTAAACCCTTCCATTTTTCTAGTGCTCTATAGAAAGGAGAGAGCTGGATATTATAAGCAGCATTAGTACTAACTGAAGAGGAAGAGGAAGAGGGAGGAGGGAGGTGAGGGAGGAGGGAAGAAAGAAGGAACTACCTTGGAGATACATATGGATGTTGAGATCTAGGCAAGCCAATGCAGGAGAGGCTCAAAAATGTACCACAGGAAACATATCCCCACGACTGAGGGGGTCTCCTGCCCTCCAGCCAACCAGCACCTTGCTGTATGCTCCCCTCAAGGCAGCTCAGGAGGCAGGGTGGTGTAACGGGAGGGGCAGAGGCCTTGGAATCTAACACATCTGTGTTCAAGCCCTAAACCTACCACTTAAATGTAGACACCCAAGTAAGACACAAACCCCCTCTGAGGCCATTTTTCAGTCTCTAAATAGGCCTTAGCAATACTCAGCTCTGCTCGCGGGGCTAGAGTAAGGTGAAATGTCATAATGAATGTCAGGCACTTAGCACATTACCTGGGGCTTTGGGGAATGACCCAGACACAAAGCGACAAGGTGTGTCCCAGGTGCGTTAATCTTCCTGAAGACCCTTGATACAGGATCCTAAAACACTTTTCTAGCAGTAGGTCAGGAGCTCA